CAAGAATGGACGGGACTCGGAGGCATCGGGCGCAGATGATGACACACGCAGCACGAGCGCACACAGCAGCCAGCGGCGTTTCAAGCGCGAGCTGACCCTCGAGAGTGACGATGCCAACTCAACCAACATTGCTGACGACGACGACGAGATGGACGACCGCAGCTTTGGGTCCTTTGAGTCTGGCGCAGATCCGGAGACTGCCGACCGGTATGTTACATCATTTCCATCTATCCTTGATATCTTTGTTCCATTCTATCCTTCCACTTGCCCCGAATGCAGTACGGCAGTCTTTCTGTTTTAAGCTCTGAAACAAAAGCTTGGATGGGTGGTCGCGCCAGTCTCCTCCACTCGACCCCCCACCGCACACTATGCATATGACAATAGCAGCCATAGTGCTCGTCTGAACCTGTCTCTACAGCCATCTAAAGCCTCATGTTTCTCTTAAGATTCTGTCGTCCTACTGTGCTATTATCACGCCCTTTCTGCAAGCTCCAACCCTCCATACGACCTTTTTTCGCATGCGAAACTGTTGTGCTACCAATAAACAAAACGTCTGCCTAACAAGCTGAACAGTGGAAGACCCGCATCCAGCTCTGCTCCAGCTCGACCCGCCACAATATCTGCCCACCCGTCCCTGATCGGCTACTTGACAACGTCATCCCCCGTGGTCCAGACACAACACCTTGACTCGCGGTCTCACTTCCTATCCTCCTCTCAAGCCCGCGGCTATTCCAGCGGCAGTAGCGACAAGTCCTTGTCGCCAGAAAAGCCATCCAAAGCAAAGGGTGTCCCCGGCTTTCAGAACTCAATCCCGGAACCTCCTGCGCCAGCCAAAATAGCTTCCGCCGACCGAAAGGGCAGGGCATCGACACCGAAAATTGAAACCAACCCTCCCCGTACGCCACCTCAAGACGATAAACCTGCTCCCGTTATTGTAAACACCCCTCCGACTCCAACAGACCGAGCTGATCATCCACAATTCGCAACGTCTCCGGACGGCAGGTCGTCAACGAATGGGGCCGGCCCTAAACTGAGAGCTGATGGAAGTGCTGCTGCGTCAAATATGAACATCCATAGGAGAAGCAAATCTGGTTCTGCAGCAATCGGTCCTAGCAAGCTCTCTCATATTACAGCGGCGCCATTGACACCTACTGACGAGACTGGAGGAGAGACCACCCAAAGTGCCACTGGGTTCTTTTCGTCCATGATATCTGCCGCTCAAAACGCAGCTACCTCAATTAGCAATACGATCCCCAGCACGGGACTCGGCATTGGAAGTAATAAAAACCGGACCGGCACACCAAAGTCTTTGAATTCCCCTGCCGCTAGCCAAACAACCTTGAACTCGCAACCTGCACCTGAACCAGAGCCGCGTATCGAAGACACAATGGATCGTAAAGAGTCTGCAGTTCGAACACTGGGGTCTGGGGACCTGAGCCTTAGCCAACTCGGTCTTCCTGAATCTTCAATTACCTCTCCCGCGGGCGCCAGATTCGCTGATGTTGCCGACACCAGAACGAGATCAGAGTCTGCTCCAACTGAGCCTCAAACCTCAGCCACGGACGTACTTCCAGCAGAATCATCGAGCCGGCCACGCTCCTTGGCCGAACCTGCCAGCGGGGATCAGACCCCCCCGCAGACGGACATTTCAGACCTCAAAGGGCCAGTTCAACGGTCGTCCAGCCTCAGGAGTGCAATGAAACCTCACAGGAAGAGGGGAAGCTCGGCAACGACCGGAGGAACCATAGCTGCGGCTATTACATCTGCCACGAATGCTGCTCTTCCCACCAGCGGCGGTGTAGGGGCACCCAAGTTGACCGGATTCGCGATTGCCAGCAAGAAGCGAAACCGCGATTTTCATAATCTCTTCAAGAGTGTACCCGATGATGACTATCTAATTGAAGATTATAGCTGCGCCCTTCAACGAGAGATCCTAGCCCATGGCCGATTATACGTGTCTGAGGGTCACCTTTGCTTCAGCAGTAATATTCTCGGCTGGACAACAACGTTGGTCATGAGCTTTGACGAAATCGTGTCTGTGGAGAAGCGAAGCACCGCTCTTGTATTCAAGAATGGCCTGATGATATCAACACTTCACGCCAAACATATTTTTGCCAGTTTTACAAGCAGAGATGCCACATATGATCTTATTGTAAATATTTGGAAATTGGGCCACCCAACTCTACGAAGCACATTGAACGGTGTTCAGCTAGAAGGGACCGGTGGGGACAAGACGGAAAAGGTGGAGGACCAGCAAGGGGTGGTGGAAGAGGAGCCACAAGAGGCGTCCGGATCCGAGGAAGATACAGATGATGATGAAGGCGACGACGAGGAGTTCTATGATGAGGAGGAACACGATGAGGTGCTTGAAACCCAGTCGACAGATATGACAGCTGTTGAACCGGATCCAGAGAGGCCGGCAACGCGAAAGGTGTCTGGAATGACTGCTGTAAATGGCGTGGCATCTGAACCGTCCAAAGACGCATCTCCACCGCCAGGCGGCGCACCCGATTTTCCTGGCCCCTCCGCTCATGCGCCAACAGACTGCGGCGACTCGACAGCCCATTACGAAAAGGTCCTCGGCGATGAGATTATTCCCGCTCCTCTTGGGAAGGTGTACAACCTCGTCTTTGGCCCTGGATCTGTCACGTGGATGAATAAGTGGTTGTCGACAGAGCAAAAGTGCACCGACATCCAGATGGAGGATAAGAAGGGCCTCACGGCCGATAACAAGAGCCGCACCTTTACGTACATCAAACCACTCAACGGCTCGATCGGCCCGAAGCAAACGAAATGTGTTGTAACAGAAACCATTGACCAGATGGACTTGGAGAAGGCTGTAAACCTCAGCGTCTCTACTCAAAATCCAGATGTGCCCTACGGCAACTTGTTTACCGTCAAGACGAAGTACTGCTTGTCATGGGCTGAGAACAATGCTACACGCATTCAAATCAACTGCACAGTCGATTGGTCGGGCAAGTGCTGGCTAAAGGGTATGAATGATTTTTGCATCGTGGCGAATTTGAGTTGCTAATGTGCGCTAGGAACCATTGAGAAGAATGTCAATGATGGACAAGGGCAATACTGCAAGGAGCTATTTGCGTCACTCAGGTCGGCAGTTTCGTCCAGGGCTCGATCCGGCACGGCGACAAACGGAATTGTCAAGGGCAAAAAGAAGCTGAAGAGAAGCAAGGCATTACAGGCCGTTGTCGACTTGGAAGCCAGCAAGGGTGGCAAGTCGGACGGCGGGAAACAAAATTGGGGACCGTTGGAACCTGTCCGAAGTATACTGGAACCATGTGTTGATGTGCTGCAGCCCATACTTACGGGGAACGTCATGTATGGCCTGCTCGTGGGCCTCCTCGTTGCCATGTGGTTTGGTTTTGGGTCTCCGCCGAAGAACAACGCGCCGTTTGGCCCAGATGTTGGATTTTACAGTCACAATCGACAGGCGGCCTATGAGGAGATGTGGCGGCGGCAGGATTCTGAGCTATGGGAATGGCTGGAGGAGCGGGTGGGTATGGAGCGGCTAAGCTCGGATCAGCCCAGCGCGCGAAAACGAGGGATGGAGCACCGGACAGTGGAGGATAAGTTGCGAGAGGAGCGGATGGATGAACGCGAGATCCAAGAAGCCATTCGTGTGACGGAGGAAAAGTTGCGGGTACTGCGCGAGGTTATTGGAAAAGGAAGGCCGAACTAGGCGATTGTACCATGGTCATTATCGAAAAGCCCCAGCAGGGAAACACCTATACGGAGCATTCACATTTGTACATTACCAGCTACAGCCCGTTAGCGACTAGGCGAATTCTATTTTGTGACTGTTGTTTGTTCAATGGATGATGCTCCGAGAGGCGACGAGGGGAGGATGAGAAGAGGACGAAGACTGTACTAGTTTAAACGGCAATCCGGTAATTCGGTACTATGTAGGTACATGGATGCTTGTGCAAGGGGTCCAGGACGGTTTCAGACGACTCAGCAACTCGTCCCTAATGCGTGGGACAAGTTGGGCGGAGATTAAGCAAGCGATAGAGTTGGCATTACGGCGGGTAGGGCGTGGAGTGCGCATGGTGGGAACATGAACGGAGATTAAGCGGGCTCTCATGATGTATGGAGCGACGTCATGGTGAGTGCATTATCAGTTGACAGGCATTACGAGCATCACACATAGGCATAAGGGCAGCCCTATGAGGCGGGACTAATGGACTGCACATGTGGTGAAGAGGGAGAAAAGGGACTAGTCAGGAACGCAACGCAGTTTCAGGGCTGGGCTTCGCCTCGTCAGATTTGCGGATGCTGCCGAGGACGCGACGATGAGTACGCAAGCTGGCCGAATGTGGAATGAGGGTGGAGATGATGGGTTGCGAAGAAGATGGGACTGAGCCACGGTCTGGCGGCACTAGCCAGCAACGGAGGATGCGCGCGAGCGTGAGGGTTGCTGAGGCCTTACTCAGACCTGGACAACATGAGCCGCTGACCTTGAGAGTCTTAGTCTGGTTGGATTGTCTGGAACCAGTCAATTGAGTCCCGATGACCAGACTGGACCGTTGCATGTTGCAACTCGAGCTTGCCGCAGGCTCAGCCCCACTTGACGTATAAAAGTCCAACACGACGGTAGCACGTCCACGTAACGACGGCCCCCTTGGTGGTGGTGTTGTCGTCATCACGACATGGACCCTATTTTGGTATTTCCCTTCCGGAGACAGCAGTTTGGGAATATCAGGATCGTGGTTTGGTTGATGCAAGAACCCAAGGCATAAGATGGCACGGGCGTCCGCGATGCTGCGCACTCTTGCCTGCATCGCAGCGACCATGTATTTGTGTACGAGACGGCAGGTTTCTTTTGTGTTGAACCGATTGTATTAGCATTAGCCAGCGTCAGCGTCAGCATCAGCATACAGTAGCCCTGCTTTGTCTCCAGCCAGTCCGTTTATAAGCGTCGCTTTTTTTTTCTTTTTTTTTTTTTGGTCCCATTTGCCCTTTATCGTCGAGGGCCAGCGAGCATGGCGCGAAAAGGAGTTCCCAAGGTCCGCACCGGCTGTCTGACATGCAAGTATGTACATACAACCGGACATGATGCCCCCCCGGCGACACCAGCTAACGTAGCAGTAGAAAACGCAAGGTAAAGTGCGACGAAACACGGCCGGCCTGCAACCGGTGCACGTCGACGGGCCGGACGTGCGACGGCTACATGCCGCCGCCGCCGGGCTGCATGTCCTGGGACCGGCTTCTCTCGGCGCCGGTGCCGGCATCGCCCAGCCCCTGCCCCGAGGCGGACGACCTCGAGCTGCGCGGCCTGGCCTTCTACCAGCAAATCGTGGCCCCCGCGCTGTGCGGCCCGCTGGACAGCTCGTTCTGGACCAAGCTCGTTGCGCAGATGGTGCACGCCGAGCCCGCGACGAGGCACGCCGTCCTGGCCATAAGCTGGCTGTACGAGAACTTTGGCGACGGCGGCGCCGAGGAGACGCTGCGCGAAGGGGGCCGGCCGGGCGCCGACGACTTTGCCATCCAGCACTACAACGCCGCCATCTCGCACCTCATCGGCCCGCAGACGTCGTGCCCCGCGGACCTGAACACGGTGCTGCTCGTCTGCATCCTCTTCACGTGCATCGAGTTTCTGCGCGGCGACACGGAGAGCGCCATCAGCCACTCGCAGCACGGCATCTCGCTGCTCAACTCGGCCGCCGACATACGGCCCGAGCTGGTGAGGGTGTTTCGCCACCTCGCCATCTTCCCCTACTTCTTTGGCGGCGACGTCTCGACGTTTCCGGCGCTGCAGGATGCGCACGCCGTGGGCTTCGACAGCCTCGACGCCGCGCTCGAGTCTCTGGACTGCCTGCTCGCGCGGGCGGTGCGCCTCGTCCGGGCGACCGACGACCACCGCCTGGGCATGGGCGCGCGCGAGCAGCCCCCGGAGGCGGTTGTTCACGAGAAGCGCTCGCTGGAGGGAGACCTCGACGCCTGGTGGTCGGCGCTGGACGAGCTGCGACGCGGGGGGGACCACCTGGTGTCGGAGCACCACGCTCCGGCGACGCTCCTCGTGCTGGAGATGAGGTGGCTCGTCTGCAGGATCTGGGCGAGTACGTGCCTCGCGCTCGATGAGACCGTGTACGACGACCACGGGGACGGGTTCGCGCGCATCGTGGACGTGGCGGCGCGGGCGGAGGCGCTGGCGGGCACCTCGACGCGCCGCGGCAAGTTCATGTTCGTCATGGGCTTCGGCCCGCTGCTGTACTTTGCCGTGGCCAAGTGTCGCTTCCTGGGGCTGCGGCTCAGGGCGCTGTCGCTGCTCGGGAGGCTGTCGTGCGTGCGGGAGACGCTGTGGGACGCGTCGACCTTGTATGCCACGGGCAAGAGGATCGCCGAGATTGAGCATGGCATCGGTGAGTTGACGCCGGAGCAGGTCGACGCCGGCGGCGTGGGGATGGATCAGGACGTGCCGCCGGATGAGGCGCGCGTGAGGGATTCCGCCGTGGAGGATGGCGATGGTGATGGGGACACGGCGAAGAGGAGGGTTTGTTTCTTGGTGCTTGGCCGCGAGGGCATCGAGAGGATGTACGATTGGGTTTGATACTGTATTACTCTTGTAATTGTAGTTGTTTGCTTTCACTTTCATCTGGGCCGGAAGAAAAACGCCCGGCAGCTGATTGTCTTGGTTGATCTGGATGGTGGAACACGGAAGAGCATCGCGGCGAGCGGCAAAAAGTATTTGGCCTCATTAGGCACCAGGCTATCATGCTCTATATTCTATTCTAGTACAGTATATTGTTCTATGTCTTTCCAGGTAAATATATTCCGTAACGGACTGGTGTATTTTGTTGTTATGTTTGCGGCCGGTTGTCAAAGTGGCCGAAATGACTATGCTTGAACCCAGGAACACCAAGTCGCCTAGAAATAACGTGTCCTGGAACCGAGGTCAAGCCAACTTGACGAGAACGAAAACAAAAACCGGACACAAGTCATCGCAACCTTCTGCAGCCGGCGTCAGCCACAGAGCACTTACACATTGACGGCAGCCGTTTACATTAGGCCGCGTTTTTGTACCTGTAAATAGCACACTGCGCCCTTCGACTCCGAATGCCAGATGAACTCTGCCAAACTTGCAAGCGTAACCGCCGTGCTGAGGGTCCATTACGCCAATCTGGTTGGCCGGCTCGGACTTGACGTGTTCCTGCATATTCGGCCGCGCGATGGCCCAGAAGTCAGGAGAGAAGTGCGACAGCGTGAGTGGGAAGAGTCCGAGGACAGGGGACGAATCGAAGTTGCCAAGTTTGGAATAAGGAGGCATATAAGATGATTTCCTGGGGAAGCTCGGAGGAGCCAAGGATCCAACAAGCTCTACCGCCGCTGGCTCCGTGTTGTTGAACTTCATTCTTTTCCTTCTTTCTTATGGAAAAGACACTGAGCAATGTTCTTCTTATTTGCCCTTTTCATCGCCGCTGTGCCCGCGCTGGCCGTTCCTTTCACTACAACTGCCTTTGATATAGTGCCCCGGGAAACAGCATCAACACCGTCACCGACTTCCGGCCCATTGACGAAAACAGAGTCCATGACGCTTGAAGGTGTCACAAATTCCGCCCTCACCATCCCGGGCCAAGCTACTCCCATGGTAGCTGTTGCGATGTGTGTGCAGACAGCTGTGCCCGACGCAAAGGGACACATTGCCCCTGGCGAATGTGGTGCCATATGGGGTTATTACCCTATCTTCTGGGCGGCACTCGCCGTGGCCTGCTTGTTCGGGTTCCTAGTCGCGGTGCATGTTCTGCAGGCGGCCGTGTTTAAAAAGGTTTGTAAGTGATTTCGACGGGCACTTTGAGAAAATGCAGACCTGGCAGCTGACCTTTTTGCAGACGTGGTGCTGGGTCATTATCATGGCCACTACCTGGGAGATGACGGCCATGATGTTCCGTACGTTAAGCTCGAGGAGCCAGCAGAGTAGAGGACTGCGTCTCGGATTCCTTATCTTGGTTCTGCTGGCCCCTATTTGTAAGTTTGGCCCCGAAACAGAAAAGTGACGACCAGCTTGCGCTGACAGGAAGAGCAGGGGTCAATGCATTCGTGTATATGGCCATAGGGAGAATGGTATGCGACTTCCACCCGTCTCGTTCGATCCTCGGCATGCGCTCCTCCAATATCGCCGTCGTCTTCGTCTTCGACATGGCCTCGTTGCTGTTCAGCTGGTTGGCGGAAGCATGGCCACATCCATGGCTGCGCCGCATGTCAAACAAAGGGCACTACACATATGAATGCTTGGGATTGGCGTTCAGGAACTCGTCATTGTTGCGTTCGTGGCCCCCTGCATGATATTTCAGGTCATGTTGTTGAAACTGGAAGGCAGCTGGAAAGAGACAAACGCAGCTGTGCCATCTTCAGGGCAAGCTGAGGACCGTTGCTGCTGGTTTTGTATTTTTCACTCGCCATGATTACTGTCAGGAATACGTATCGACTTGCCGAGTTTTCTGGAAGGATTAGAAACAACAGCGCACGGACTACACAGGAGGCGTATTTTTACACACTGGAGGCAGGACCCATAATCTTGGGTTCGTTTGGGCTTGTGTTGAATATTGGATGCTTGTATATATCTCTCCTTGCAGAGTGGCAATCGAGGCACCGACAACCGGTCGCCGATTCGGCTCCATATCGGGGTTTATGCCTCATTGCAACCCAGCTGGTCCCTCAATCATGCAACATCGTACGAGATGGCTGGTCTGTATATGTCAATTTCCATTTTTTCTCGTAATAGACCCTGCCCTTGCATACATGTGCTGTACTATACGAATTACTTTTGCGAACGGGCTCATGTAGGCGTTATCAAAACTGGCGCTCGGAGATGCATCGTTTACTTATTAATTATTGACAATATATAATATGATATCCACGTGTCTTGGCGCAAGACCGGCTCAGTAATACTGCGGCATCTCACATTTTTCAGAAATATTTATATACCATTCAACGTACAAGAGTTCATGTCCGTCTTACCTTTTTTACTACACAAGAAAAGCCTATTACACAGATACTTTCAACGTCTCATCTTTCTGCAAGATTAAATTATTGACAATGCGTTTCATTACTGCTGCCGTTGTTTCTGCCAGCCTGGCTCTTGGCCAGCAAGACTTGAGCTTGAAGAGCTCATGCGACGATTTGATTAACGCGGGACCGTTGAGTCCGAGTCTGCCTTCCACTGTCCCTTGGAAACTACAGGTAAGCGATATGAAAAACAACCCGTTTTAGGAAGAAGTACTAATAGAAGTAATCAGGGTTGCCTGGCAGTAAGTGCAAAGATGGCAAATCCATATATTTTCTACGAAATTACCTAACAACCCTTCAAGGCACGCGAGTGCACTTCTCAGCCCGAGAATTGCCGCACTCCTCTGGCCATTCAAGAAAACAGGATTCGGGCGGGAAAGCCTCTGCCTCACAAGGTATGTGTATAGCAGGGAAGAAGGTATAAAATATCAATTAGTGACACTGAATGAATAGACTGATGACGCCGACGCTTTCTGGGGCCAATTTGGATATGGCAATGTCGAGATGCGCCCGTATAAAGGGGTTGTCCTTGAGAAATACAACTGCTCTCTGCTTCAAGGTTTTGTTTGCGGATCGGGATTTGACGGCCAGTACTGCAATCTCATGTTTGCGCAAAAAGCAGTAAGTAGATTCCAGCGCCATTTTATTACTGGATCTAAGCTGATTCTAAAATTTACCAGGGCTGCGAAAGTGTAAGAAACTCCGTTTAGTACTGACAGACGGGAAGTTTACTAATACATGATATAGTATGGTGAGTATAACAACTCCCCGGAACACTCTTCCAAGTGTAAGGAGATTTCGGAGAAGTTCGAGGTAATTAAAGTATTCCCTATCCGCGGGGTTTTAACAAGTTACTAATATTTAATAGGACAATTTGGAACGTGAGCATTTTGTAATGCAATGTTCTGGAGCATCTGCCCAGCCTGTCGTGACTTGGTCTCAATAGACTAGGCCACGTGTAAAAGCTACTTGTAGATAGTGTGTGGCAAATTTTGACCACACGGCTATACCAGTTAGCTACCTACCTAGATACCTATAGGTAGGTAGTTAATTGCTACAGCGTAGCTAACAGCCTACATATGTAACTACATATGTAGTAACATGGCCTTGGATGCTAGTCACTTGCCTCGTGACGGGACTTATCACGTGTCATATAATTATATAACTAGCTTTTCAAAATGTCTAGAATAACAAAATCTTAACTTCTGGCCTTGCGGCTGTTGTATTTGTTTTTCTTTATTTGACTTTTAGAAACATGTATCTTTTCAAGTGTGGATCCTCTCTAGTTATACAGACAGGATACCATGTCTACAAAATGTTCAATGTCAAACGTCTCCATCTGTCTCGGCACGTGTCTGTAAGTAGTAAGCTTATATCTTGCTCGAACCAATACGTGCCACTTGGCCTAGCGGAAGAATGCAAGACCCTGTGGTAAAGGAGCACAGAGTACCTTCTAGGTACCTAGGCAGGTACTACAGGGAAGTATCTTTTTAGATCGATAACATATGTCATTCCTGGGTATCGCTTCCACCGACCACTGTACCCTGTTCTCCGCATATGTAGTTTCTTGGCAGTCTGAGGATCCGGTGGTGTCCAATGTCTCGTGTTGACTTGCGCCATCCAAGCCACGGTCACGGCCTCTCCATGGCGTGAGTGAGTCCCCCAGCAAATATGGCGTTTCTCCGAGAACCTGGTTCAAAACGCCTCATTGCGCACAAGCCTCGGCGTACGGAGGAGCTATTCCTTTATTCCTCAGCATCCGCATTGGTGGCGGACACATAGGACCGACTGTCGATTCAAGCCCATTGCACAACATCCTACAAGATTCGAGCTGTTGAGTGGGAGAAGAGCCAATAAAAAATGAAAATAAGAACTTTGAAAAAGGCGACAAAAGTTACCCATCTTCTTATAGTGGGAGATTAATGCCAAGGCAAAGACGAACACATATGACTACCTCGGCCGATGAACACAACTTCACCTAATGTGGCAGAGCTGTCCCTCCACGCAACTGCAAGCCAGCCCAGTCATCGATTTGGCGTGACGCATGGCGTTTGTGGATGGCTCGATCCCACATTTTCCCCAGGTTTTCATTTGTTGAGCAGCTACTTATGAGGAGACCTGACGGTACTATAAAAACATATAGCCATCAAATTGTTGCAGGTGGAGCAGAGGGAACGGCTCCGTGCCATACATGTATATAGAATTCTAGATTCCAAGTTGCGACAAGATGGGAGCCGCACGGAATCGGGATGGTACGGCGGGCTCATAAACATGCCACGTGCATCGCTTTCTCAGCTGGTGAATCCATGCCTAGATCTACGAGTCTTCATTCTTCCGTTGGACTACGCAGTGACTATGGGTCTCTAACTCATCAGCCGAAGCATACCACTCAGCTTCCAAGTGTATTGGCCTCGTCGAGGAGGTTGCCATGTCACCACCGGGGGCAAAGGGCCAGGACGCGGACCACCTGAGCCAGAAGAGCCCGTCAACGTCTCATCCAGAGACAGCATCGACTCCCGATAAAACGAGCAACGAGGACCATGGCCGCGAATGGCATCGAGTGCCCTCGCGGGCATCCCGCAGCGCCGGCCAAGCACCGATGGACGATATCCGCCTGTCGACCACCGTTTCCAGCCGCACCATGGACACATTCTGGTTTCCGCAACTATCCCTAGGCTACGATGACACCCCGCGCAAGATTCGGCGCGGCTTCCACTCTGACAAAGAAATGGTGTTTCTGGCGTGTTGCCGCCAATACCCCAAGGCCGTGGGCTGGACGCTCCTCTTGTTTCTCACGGTGGTCATGGAGGCGTACGACAAGTCGCTCGTGTCGGGCTTCCTCGCGTTCCCAGCCTTCCAACGCAAGTACGGGCAGCCGGAGTCGACGACGGGAACATCGGTGGGCAACGGACCTGGAGCGTACCAGATCCCGGCGCCGTGGCAGATTGCCCTGCACAACGCCGCATTCACCTGCGAGATCATCGGGCTGCTGACCCACGGCTACATTACGTATAATATCGGATACCGAAAAGTCATGATGGGCAGCCTGGTTTGGCTGTGCCTCTCTGTGTTCCCTGCGTTTTTTGCGAGCAACATTACCACTTTGCTGGTTTCACAAGCCTTGTGTGGTAAGAGCAGCACTTTCTCCCCCAACTCTCGCCGTCATCTTCACGGCCATTTAACATGGTGTTGCAGGAATACCCTGGGGCGTCATTCAGACGCTCGCCGCTACGTACGCGGCCGAGGTTGTGCCCTCGGGCTTGCGGCCCTACGTCTTGAGCAACATCAACATGTGCTGGGTTGCCGGGCAGCTCCTGGGGACTGGTGTCCTCCGGGCTCTGGTGCATAGCGATTCGCAATGGTCTTATCGGCTCCCGTTTGCCTTGCAATGGGCCTGGGCAGTTCCCCTGTTGATTGGCGTTTACTTTGCGCCCGAGAGTCCTTGTAAGCACTCCGCCGCGCGGTGACTTTTCCCTGGTATGGATCGTGTGCGTGTGTGAATTGTCATTGACGAGTGTCGTTGCAGGGTGGTTTATTCGCCATGAGAGAGCGGCCGACGCCCGGCGATCTCTTGGCCGACTTTGTAACCGGTCCGGCTCCCACATTGACGATAGCATAGCTCTGATGGAGCACATCAACAGGATTGAGAAGGAGTTAAACTATGGAGGCGCAACGTATTCAGACTTGTTTAAAGGTGTTAATCGCCGTCGAACAGAGATATCGTGCGTCGTGTGGATGTGTCAGGCGCTCTCTGGCAGCGTCTTGACCGCCTTCGCAGCATACTTTTTTGAACAGGCTGGCTTCGACCCTTCCAACTCTTTCAGCCTGTCTACGGGGATGTATGGCATGGCTCTGATTGCGGGCATAATTTCATGGGGCCTCCTTTTCAAGATTGGTCGTCGAAAACTGTACATGTTCGGCCTGGCGTCGGCGGTTGCCTTCTTGACTGCTGGTGGAATAGTATCAGTGGTGTCGGCAGGTAGCAACGGGGCCGATTGGGCTTTGGGCGCCTTGATCATCCTCATGACCTTCACCTACGATCTGACCCTCGGTCCTGTATGCTACGTCGTTGTGGCTGAGATTCCATCGACGCGCCTGCGGGTCAAGACTGTTGCTTTGGCTAGGGTGGCATACAATATCGCCATGATTGTCAATACTTCTCTGGTGCCGAACATGCTCAATCCTACGGCTTGGAACATAGCAGGCAAGTCATGCTTTGTGTACGTCGGAACGGCCTTTTCTTGCCTTGTGTGGTGCTACTTTCGATTACCAGAAACCAAGGGGTTGTCATATCTTGAACTGGATATCTTATTTGAGAAGAAGGCTCCCGCACGAAAGTTCAGCCAGGTCCAAGATAGGCTTGCCAAGTCCGCGTATCTTACTGCCTCGCACGCCGAGCGACTCACGGATGCCTGGCACGGGTGGTTGGCGTATTCCTAGTTGTAAGATTATCAGCAGTAGCTATAGAGCACGAAATAGAAGGCCATCAATCGTAATAATTTGAGTTTCATAATCTACCAGGATAGATGTGACGCATAAGCTCAGCTAGACCCAGTCCCATGCGCCCCATAGTGTGGGATTCTCACACTCGCAAGGCTAACTAGGGGGGATGTAGCTATCCATAGAAGTTTCTTGTCCACGTTCTGCCATATGTTAGTGGAGTGAAGCAGATAATGCCACTACAGCGATGTATGTCACCGTGTTTCGCATCTTTGTTACTGAATTCTGTTTCAAACGAAAATACTGCAACCACTTGGCTTCCTCTAGAAGCGGTGAATATGGAAGTAGTGAAATAGCAAGCTGCACCGATCCTACCAGCCTTGAAGTACTGTAAACCGGAAACAGATGATACCTGAACTTGTGAATTTTCATTAAAGATCTGCCACAAATGGTAATGTAGATACTTCGTAATAAGCCCAGGTTATGGACAGCGGAAGTCTTCAACTCCTGACTCTTTCCAAATTGTTCAAGGCCGCATCCCACCATCTGCACATTACTGTTTTCAGTCATATAATCGTTTTGTTTCCGAATTCAGACAGCACAGAGCATTAACCTAGCCCTGGATTTCCTCGATGGCGAAATTGATATACGTACAGATTGGTGGATGTAGATACGTGGGTTCAAAATTTTAGAATTCTGTGAGCCTTTCAAATATAGTTGTAATTAACTGACCAGATCCCTCCATTTGAACTGTTACTGTCGCCCTGTCCTAAATTCGTGCATTCACATTTTTATTGCGGCGACTGCAAGAATACTCGTCCCCTCTTTCACTACAAGTTTGGGCTTAAGTGCTGGAGCTCGTATGTCTATGTCTTTTGGATTCCCCCCCTGTCTAGTGCCATCTTTATAATGGGCATGCTAGATGTCAGCGCCAGGAGCACTCTTTTTTGCTGTATTCGCAGCCATGATTGCTGTCGTGCCTCAAAGAGGGATAATCACCATCTCGGTGCTCACATACTCGTTGCCTGCCCAGAGGCACTGTATAGGCACTCGCCGTTATGTCCTTGATGGTGAAACCAGATTCAAGCTCGAATCGTGTCGGACTTGCCCCCCCGATATTCCCCGCCGACGAGGTTGGTGAATTATTGAGCTTTGGGTATTCTGTGAAACGTTTGCGTATGAGACCACGTGGTAACTTTGACCGCAGATTCTCGGTTGAAACCATTTCATGTCAAGATGATAAATGACCGTATCCAGGCCATTGATTGGCTAACATGGATTCATCCCCGGTCTGTGGCCAATGATACATAGCGGAAAGCGCTTCTCGATTGCACCAGATGGTTGAGATGCCGCCTCGGCGGGCCGTGGCCAACTGGAAGCCGCAAACTACCAACGGGCTTGGTGCCGCCTTATCACAAGTCAATATTAGTCCATGTTACTACTGTTTCTACAAGGAGGGGAATGTTGGGGTGGTACGCCATGTCGTGAGACTTGACGAGTAACTTAGAAGTTAGGACATTGAGCCTATCGAGGCATCGAGTGGGAGACCTACATTAACCTACGTCTAAACAAGCATCCCGAGACGCGGGACGAGCCATGTATGTCTCAGGAAGTGCGGGGAATGTCGGGCCCTTTCGCCGATATTTGGGCTTTGATGAACCACCCTCTCTCGAGATGTCCGGTGCGCGTGTACTGCTGCGTTCCCATCTGCTGCCACAGCAAAACTGGGGGTTGCTTTGAGGCAGGACTACGCGTATCTGCTCATATATCAATGGGTGTCGCCAGTAAGCACATGGAATATCGGATAATCTGACCGTAGCACTTACATCGCCTCGACTGCCGCGCCATGTCCTTCGAACCAGCGCCGATTGACCGTGTTAGCGTCAGCTCACCATTCTATCTGCAGATTGACGAGCGTATGCGCAAGACTACTCTTCAGGCTATCCTTGATTCTTTAAAATCTACCGGTCGCTTTTACGCGCTATCATGGACTCCCGAAAGCGCACCGACCAAGGCTCATTGTTTCTGGGACTCAGATGTCTACAAGACCATGGAGGCCTGTTGTTATTACTTGATGAAAAAGGATGACGCCCAAATACGTGCAGATGTAGAGGAGATTGTAGGATATATCAAAAAGGCCCAGTGGGAAGACGGGTTCGTGTCACCATACGTCATAAGTTGCCCGGTCGCGAGACTCGCTGATAAAACAACAGATATATCAATTCATATTTTACGCTACATGACCCAAATGGTCGCTTTACCAACCTGCGGGATATGCATGAGCTCTACTGCATGGGTCATCTCGCCGAGTTTGCCGTTGCTTACTACCAACTCACTGGCTCGCACGATCTCATACATGTCATGAGAAAAGCGACGCAACTGCTGCGCGTGGCGGTGCTTCCCAAGGGAGGATATCCGGGACATCAAGAGCTAGAAATTGGACTGCTCCGGCTCTACGAGATTACGCGGGAAGGTATATTTCTTGAAACGGCCGAGTTTTTCCTCCGTGAACGGGGCAAGAAAGATGAGAATGGACGCATATATTACGACCGCGAGGCTTTGGCTAGAGACGAAAACCCCTCCAACTCGCCTAGCGAGATGCTAAGACGTCGCTTTAAAACTACCCACGACTACTCCTACATGCAGGCGCATATGCCACTTGTCGATCAGCACACCATCGAAGGTCACTGTGTCCGGGCCATGTATTTTGTCACCGGGGCGGCACACTATGCTCTGGTGAAGCCTTCCGAGACCAAGGATATACGGGATGCTGTTCACGGGCTGTTTAACAACGCGGTCAAACAGAAGATGTATATTACTGGCGGGCTAGGCAGTGTCGCCGAGTATGAGGGATTCGGACCGGATTACCACCTCCCGGACCTGCAGGGAGGAGGCTGCTACTCTGAAACCTGTGCCAGCGTTGCCCTGGTTTTCCTCTGCGAGCGTCTGCTTCGAAGTGGCCCGAATAGATTATACGGGGATGTCATGGAACGTGCACTGTTGAATTGTGTTTTGGGCGCCGTTGGATCACAAGGTTTATCAGCCCTTGCCCCTTTGTCTGGGAGTATATGCTGACAATGCTTATAGGAGCAGAATTTTACTACGAAAACCCTCTGGCAACTATTGCTGGCCAGCCATGGTGTCGGCAAAAGTGGTTTGAAACCTCCTGTTGTCCGCCAAATGTTGCAAAACTCATGGGCATGTTGCCATCACTGATATTTTCCACTCGAGGCTCCACTGTTGCCATTCATCTGTTTGTAAGCTCGGTTCTGAAGACAGTGGTGGATGGTCACCGGGTTCAAGTGACGATGGAAACACCTCTGCCTTGGGAAGGCACCGTGAGAATAAGTGTCAACTGCCAAAAGCACGTTGAGCTAGCAATTCGTATCCCTGACTGGGCTGCCGCTGGGTACACGACATCGGCTAAAGGGCATGTTCGGGAAGGCTACTTTTACGTTTCAGTCGTGTCGTCGTCTGAAATACGGTTTTCCTTCCCCACGCAGCACAAGATGGTGTATGCTCACCCTAGCACTAGGAAAGACGAGGTGGCAGTTACTCGTGGGCCAATTGTCTATTGTGCTGAGGGTCCTGATAATAATTTCGATCTGGAAACTACCTATGTGGATGTGACGTCTCTTCGGGAAGTCGGAGAGCTCGATATTGATGGATGGAAGGGAGTTCCGATGTTAGAGCTGGACGCCAGGGTAAAGAGTAAAACAGACGACACTCTGTATAGTTGGGATAATTCAGGGTTGACAGCTGAAAGGAAGACTTTGAAGTTGATACCCTTTTTTCTGAGAATGAACAGAGGTGGAAGTGGCGCGATGAGGGTCTGGTTCAAAAAGGATGGCATAGCTCCTTAATTAGCTCCATTTGGGATTGAAAATCAACAGGTTAATGTTGTGACTTGATTTTTCAAGCGTTAAAGATTTTGCGCGACTTGTTTGTATCGTGTTATGCAACTAGTCCTCGGTTGTAAGATTATGAAACGCTTTTGTCGCCTAAAGAATCCTTGGTTCATAGCTCTTCTTGGTACTCCTTGATTAACTAGAATTAACCTCTCCTCCGTTTCCCCAGAGGGCTATACGGAGAGGTGACTTCCAGGCAGACTTCCTCAGGACATGTCAACTGCTGGTGCAACAATCCCCTTTCTCAGAGCGGCCCAAGACAAGCTCCCAGGTAGACCCAGGAGCGCGAAGTTCCCCGAACAAGATGTCAGGTGGTCCGCATTTGACTCCAGGCTCTTAACACAGATAATGTATAGGCTTACGAGAATGACTCGGCATCTGTCACAAGGGCGAATAACTGGGCTTGGAACGTGTGTTCAAATATTAATTTAATAATTAACTTAAAGGTATTTGTTAGGTTCACTAGGGAATTAGGGCGTTACTAGTAATAGCGTGTAATTATAATAATAGAAGTAATCTAAGGAAAAGGAAGCTATTAGCTGCGTACACGCGTGCATCGTAGCCTTTATAGTTACATGTAGTGTTATTACCGCGGTGACCCCTTTTACGGGCCGCTTATGTGCACGGCTCGCGGCGCCAGAATAGGATAATATTAATCTAACTAATCAGGGTGGTTATGGACTAGGCATAATTAGTCCGACCGAACAACGCCATATTATGGGCCGACGATTATCATAATAGTATTAAAAGTCCTTGGTTTTCAAGGGGTCTTAAGGGACTACATGTTTCTATAAATACAAGAAGTTGGTAATAGCTAGGACCTGAGGCAGCCCTCGCTTATAGTACAGCTCCGGTTACTCCCGATACCTTCCTTTATTTCTATATAACCTTTGTGGTCCGATACCTTTATCCCGGCATCTTTGACGTGTGACAGCATCCTATTTAGATAACTCGTCAAAGTGGTCTTAGACGCTGCGAGCAAGCTCATCATCGCCGAGTGCCTTCTCCGAGAAAGCGTCTAACTCGGCGGTAGAGATTCCATATCGTCACTCATCGTCGGAATCTAGGCTTCTAATATAGAGTCTCTGGATGCTCTGTGCCAAGCTATGAGATGAAGTATAAGCAAATCGTTTAAATCCGACTGAATATAATGTTGGCTTTATTAAGTTATGAGAGAAAAACAAAACCAAAAGAGGGCTAGATGGTCATGAAAGATGTTGAGTATATTGTTGCATTGTTCTACAGTCTGTGGCAGAATATATTTGCCCACCAATAGCTATACACTAATAGTCTAGTATATTCTTGTATAGAGCACGATAGTCAGATACTTGATTTGGCTAAATACTTTGTGCCTCGAACTGTATGTGAGCGACATAGAAAGACTTTCTAAATCTATGGTACGTGAATTCGTCTTGAGTAAGCTGCTTTATTCATCGTGTGGCAAACACTTTCGAGGATCGTACATGACACGTCACAAAACGAACGTCCTTTCATTACTTCGTAATCAGTCCCCCTTATGTTCTGTTGACAAGACGTAATCTGGTTCTTTGGCGTCAGCCTCATCCATCTACTGTCCACCTTGCCAAGGAAACCACTGAGAAATCACTTCATGAGAGCCTTGCCCAACCCTTGGGATATCAGCCTTGGAGGCTGAAGTGTCCATGTTTTTCAACCACACTCATGTAAACCTCTCATATTGCTTATGAATATGTCGAGGAGGTGGAAGAACTGACTTTTCACAAGCCTGGAGGCTATTACCATGTTGCTATTGGAGGCCGACTTCGCGATCTATATCGCATACTGCACAATCCAGGCAACAGGGCAAGTTCCACGATATGGTTGGCACGGGATCTGCATCATATAAAATATGTCGCCCTCAAGATAGCCATTAGCAATTGGAAAACCAACGAAGCAAATATTCTCTTTCATCTAGCAAATTCCTTCCATGACTGATTGCTTCAATTTCGAGGGACCGAATGGAAAACATCAATGCCTGGTTACCGAAGTGGCCAGATGCAGTTCGGTCAGCCGGATTCTTAGCCTGTAGTCCGACAAGATGGAGAGCGACTTCCATCCAGTGTTCCTACCCATGTCTACGAAGCCGTATGGATGAGCAAGCCCGCGGAGGAGTTGGCCCTCCAAGATGTAAGCCTTGTGCTGATAGATTTTGGCGTGGCGTTTCGCCCACCACAAGCCGTATGATTCAAGTCGCACGCCCCGATCGATATTTGGAAGGCGATGAAGAAGATACTCGTCGATAATCGGAGTGGTCATAAGGGGATGTGTATATAGTGTCGGAAGAGACGCCAGTTACAGGCGTTGGATAACCGTCGACGACGGAATTTGTTTCTGCTGGTAAGTCTGGTCAGTATTGTTTGCACAGCAACCTGTTATAGGAGTAGTAAAAACAGTAGGATGCTTCCCAGTAGAAGACAAGGCTACAGAATAACTTGGTATTTCTGTCGCTCTACCGACAGACCGACTAAAAGGGCGAAATCGTATCGTGCATAATCTGTGTTTTGGGTCTTCAACATTCGCCGTCTCTAATTGCTTGCTCACCTCGCCTCGGGGTGATACAATGAAGCACGGTCCTTCGATGGGATACCTGCCTCCCAAACAGATGGCGCCAGGATTTTTTCTTATTTTCACCATCCATTTCGCGATACGATGGGTGCGGGCATCGGAAGGCGGCGCGAGTAGCACTTGGTTTGGATTCCTGACCGCTGGGGATTAATCGGCCCATACATATTTCGACTCGAGGCAGCGGATGTGTGTATCGTTCCTAAGAAGCATTCGGTCATTAGCTCAGAAAGTTGAAACAGTCCTCGCTCCCTAAGCGAGGAACGGCTTGTCAAGTTGAACTCGCGTCATCAGACTTGGACTTGGAATCGGAGGGCGGTGTAGAAAAGCCGACTTACAAGGCGACTTGTGCGAGCTGTTGGGACAGATTGGCATATATGCTCCGTTCGTACCTGTTCCTGGCTCAATTTGCTCTGCACCTAGGCTGTATCATGAGTCCTCACAATCGAAGGCGCTCAAAACGGCGATGGTTGTCTCCTGAATCGAGCGGGCGGAAGGGCGCCTCCCAGATTCTGCTTGTATTATGGTTTGGTGTCTTTGGTCTTGTATCAATCTTCGGTCATGTTTATTTCTCGGGAAGGGGTTTGCTAATGGCGATTATGTAGCCTTGGACTGGAAAGCGCATAGATAGACAGAGGGCAACATACGGACTAGTCTCTACGGGCATGCATGGGTTGCCATGCGGTAAGAAGAGCATGGCGACAATAGTTGCAGTTAACAGGCTTACGATATCACGATATATATGGCAAATTAAACATCACCAATCATATACGGGTCAGGTTTAGGTTATGGATATAGGAAACCTCGTACACCTGAGTCGTCATTCGCCGAGTCCCGTCTCCTAAGTCATAACCGAGATTCTCCACCTTTGTTACACGGAAAAGGCCCAACCATCGTGAAGCCCAATAAAGGGGCGTCACCGACGAAAGGACCTGTTGGTTACATAGATTGAACACGTGCCCGGGCTAGGACCGTAGGCACAGACGTTCCCTTCATGTATATATAGTAGTTCCTGTCCCCTTCCTTCCTTTTAGAAAACCAAGGACCTTTGACATCCTTCAGGATTATCTCTGAATCTAAGCCTTTGCTTCAAGCCTTCTATATGGAACCCTTGTCACAACCCTGGCCATTGATCCAGCGTTTCCCTTTCCCGAGGTATTCATAAGCGCTACACGGCTTCCAGAATGACAGAGTTTGGGTCACAATATGAGTGGGGAATGAATACGTAGCGTTCCAGCCAGTCTCTCATTCGTCATGTAACCTCATGGCATCATTTCGCAGCAGGCCGAGTACTTTCCAGAAAGCAGTAGCCAAACCCTCATGTTGAGGGTGTCGCTTATACGCCTCCTTCTTCTGCCTAACGGAAGGCGAGATATTCATAAATGATGAGGCGAGTATTTTCTACCAAGTCCCGCCGCGGCTGTGCAACAAGATAATCCACTCTGCTAGCCGTTCCTGGGGAATAACATGAGATTCAGTCCCTCCCTTCATGCGAATCCCTTGGCCAAACTACGACTGTACGCAAGAAACGGCGTAATAAGCGTGTGCTTAACCCATTCGGCACTGGTTGGCTAACGTGGCTCGCAGAATCGAACATACCAGGGCCTTCACCCCTCCCTTGACAAGGGCCGATGGGATGACAAAGTGTCCCAAGTTCAGGGTCTTGCCGCAAGTAGCCCGGCAAATATGAAGCTTGTTAAAGGTACTAAACTGTCTAATTTAATAAAACTGGCTAGTGTCCTCTCGTATTTCTGGGGAGAGGGGCGGCGGGAACATGCACCGCGTCTAAACCGGGCAGTTTGAAGAGCAACGAACCTCCAACACTTGGATACATCACTCTGCTGTACAATTCCGAGATTCGAATGGGGTGGGTCGGTAAGAGCTGCCTGCGTGAAATTATTTAAATTGATGCGAATATGTAGTTCGTCGTGTCGACTCGAGTCAGTCAATTTGAAGTACGACTCTGATATTTTTGGAGATCGTCCAGCGTAGGTACAACAACAACGTAGTATCTTATTTAGAAATACGGAAACATAATTCCCCTTATCTGAAAGTCATCTGTGACCATGATCCATGTTCAGAATCCGCACACGTATAGCCCTGCCCTTTACGTGTCGTTCCTGAGCCCAACGCCAGTCGAACGACATCGGCAACTTGGGTCACCCATGTCTTTTTTTTTTTTCAGGGGCTAGGCTATTCAAGCACTGGGGCTACCTAACCTGGCCGTATATTATCCCCCTTGTAATTCTCTTGCCACCGAAACCGCCATTTCGAGACTTAGGGGCCATCCGTTAACACGCCGATGGAGTCTCTTGCCTTTCCTTCATTCCCGGTTGTCAGCTAGTATACTCGATCGACTTGATTCCCTCTTCAATCTCTTTTTTGTCACATCGGCACTCATTACTCTACTATCAGCAACTCTATCCAGTATACACGCCGGAACTCGGACGATTCCTAAACTACCGCCTGTCATCACGTCCAATCTAGCTCGGTGTCCTTGGCATCGCGCTGCCGTGCGTCGTAAATGCGAGCCACTTTCAGAAGTCCACGAAAGCTTATCACTCTCCTTGTGCTGTCTCTCGTTGCCATCCTTGTTCTGCACCAACTTAGTTTCCATGACCAATTTCTCCTCTGTGGCAGTCTATCAGAGTCGATGAAAATAGTCGACGCATGCCCTCGACCTAATATCAAAACGAGCAACGAATCCCTCGGGACGGCCAGACCGGGTATTCCAAATGTAATTCATCAGATATGGAAAACGGAGCACGTCGAAACATATTCTACCGAGGCGTCCCACGCGTCATGGAGAGCTCAAGCCGAATCCAGCAATTACACGCTGAAACTATGGACTGACAACGACATCCTACAGCTCATCAAAGCCAAGTATGCGTGGTTGCTATCGACATACGAGGGATACGCGCAAGATATTCAGCGCGCAGACATGGCCAGACTCGTCGTCGTTCACGCGGAGGGAGGCATCTACGCAGATTTGGACGTCTACCCCGTGTCGGTAGACGAGTTGTCCTGCTTGCGGCATCTTGGCCTGCGAGCCATCTTTTCTCCCACGGCGGGAAATGCCGGGCTCAGCAACCACTTCTTCATGGCTGAGCAGGGGGCGGATTTCCTCCAATGGGCGCTGTACGAGGGTAAACGGCGAGGCGGCCCGTTGTCGAAGCACATTCTTCTACCGTACTTGCGAGTCTTTTGGTCTACCGGTCCGCTGATGGTGACGTCGGCTTTTCGGCAGTATTCGTGGATGTACGGCGCCTCGAGCCATGGACTGGGTGTGCTGGGCGCGGGCTACGGGGGTTTCGTGGTTCGGCATGCTGCAGGGCGGTCTTGGCATGGGTTGGATGGGTATCTTTTGAATTATGTAGCGGATCATGTGCGAGTGGAAAGCTTGTGGGTGGGTGGTTTTTGTCTGGTCGCCTTACTCGCTGTAGTGTTTATATCGTGGCGATGTCGTTGGAGGAGTATGCGGTATCGCTGAGGCCGCTGGGCTGGGTGACGACAGACCTCTAACCAAACTTGCCAGTCATTATTTTAATATTTACGAGAAAGGCGATCTATGATATTCTGTAATACAAACTGTCTTTCATTCAAAATCACGGCCTCATGGAGGCGGGTGTTATCTATTGAGACGTGATTGGTATATTGAAACTGTTATGGTGAAAGGACTCCGAGGGTAAACCGCGGGTGGGTGGTGACTAGCTCACGTTGTCAAGTTTTTTCTTTCTGAACCACTCTTCGTAACAACATGTTTCGCATTGCGGAAGCTCTTCATATCGCTTAGGAAGTTCCCCGACATGGGTCAAGCTTCTTTCTAACAGTGGGGCTTTTGCGAGGGCCGTGGCCACCGGAAGAGTTTCGAGATTAAAATGAAGCTATTGGCGTCATCAGATTGATTTGTGATGAGTTGTGCAGGCTAATGTCGAGACTCAATGCACCTGCTGGGCTGAAGCACAGACAAGTGCTCTGACATGGGGGGTTGGTGGTAGAAGACCGCGGTCAACGTCCGATGATGATAGGCACTAGGAGGACATGACTTGGAAACTCGGATAGTCATTCTAGTCTTGCGCTTTGTCTAGCATGTCGAGAATACGATGCTTTGGTTTGTCGATATTGCTTGCGCCAACATGATCGACCGCTTGAGCCTCCACATGGCAGTCCGGCTCAAGCCACTCGCCAAACGGGAAGATCTGCGGATGACTCCGTACTGTGGAGGACCAACCGAGTAATGTCCGGTGCATATTCATGCAGGGTAGTGCGCATACGTACAACGTACGCAAGCCTCGCGTCACCATCGCCCTTAGCTTTACATTGCCACCGAGACCTCCTGGATGGTCGTGAACAAGGCGCTTGAAAGCCCCCGACCAAGGAGGCTAGTCCGTACAAAGTTTTGCAAAGATTCCGTCAAGAAGGTCCGGTATATCGTGCTCTATGCCAATGGGGCGTTTCCGACGACAGTGGAGCAGATAAAGAGATTCTTGGCAATACTAGGGTCCGGTACATTGGAGAGGAAAGGGAGCTGAAGAAATTCAACCACACAAACAATGTCACAAGCCTCCCTCCATGAGATGTAGGGTAATCTACACGGGTTCGCACCCTATTCGAGACAAGAAAGAAAGAACCCAGGGGGCACGATCGGAGAATCGCGCCCTGTCCCTACATATGTCAATACCTTAGACACAATGCACCCTCATGTGAGAGCGGTTACCGGGTTAGACCACCAAGTCATTGAGAAAAAACGACCCAGCAACAAGGCCCATGGCCGAATATCCCCGGTATTCGGCTTACAAGTATGCACATCTTGTCTCCCTATGGCCTCTGCCGCCTGGAAAGTGTAGTAATTGTAATCAGTCTCTACACCCTTGGACAGGTAATTGCCTTGTATTAATATGTATTAAATCCGAACTTCACCGGTACTCCTAGGTCCTATTCTCAATTTCCCGTCCTAAAAACCCTCTTCCAAGCCCCCTGTAGGGACATTTCGTCAAAGGCAACATCCTCATGATACGTCTTGGTCGTCCAAACGCTCCCCGAGGCCTTGACATTCTCCCACGCCTTCTTGCGCGCAAACAAAGAAAACAGTCCCGAGAAGATGCCAGCCTTGTTGATATTACTATTCGCACCGCGCTCCTCCATGCCGATGCCCTCGGCGTATTGCCACTGCGCCATGATGGGCGGCATGACGGAGTAGGAGACCAAATCGCCCGAGACAATCATTTCCTGCATCACCATGTCCACCGGCATGTCGAGATTCACGGCAGTCCTTAGCAGGAGCTTCGCCGCCCCCGTTTGGCTCACGGCATAGGCGGTCGTGCAGGTGATGCCGCCCGATCGGCGAATCACCCTTTCGTGTGTGAGCGCCCGGCCCTGATAGTCCTTGCCCAGTGGCACAAAGGGGTCATTGTAGATAAGCCTGATGTCGTTGTTCTCGTCGGTCTCGTGGCACTGACCGAAAGAGAGGATGTCCCAGTGGCTGCTGAGCCACGGGTCGTCATCGGATGCTCTCGTGCTTTCATTCCGGGCCACTGCTTCCGCAGGCCACGCAGGGTTGTGAAGCTGCGTAGAGTTAATCTCTCTCAGGAACTGTCGAAAGTGGTTATTCAGATTGGGCATGATTTTGCGAATATTAATGTCCCACGTCGCATCCGACTCGACGATGAGAAGGGGCGGGAGCTTTTGTCTAAGCATGGTCGACCATATCTGCACGAGCGTTAGAGTCTGTCAAGTCGTGTCTTTTGGGATCGTGATGGCCTACATTGGCGTGTGCTCGCCAGCAACCCTGCTCGCTTGTGCGCAGCTTGCCTGGCTTTCGGGTAGGCGGCATGCCGACGTCCTTGATCAGCTGTGGCCCGACGGCTGGATACTCGGTCAGGTCGACGCCGGAGAGATAGGACTGCAGCGACATGGCGTCGAGGCGGTCGTAGCGGCTCGGCAGGTATATAAAGTAGATGGAACTAAACCCCAATGTGCTGTTCCCGGCGTCATTGTCCGCCGTCGGCACTACGGGGGGATAATGCTCGCGATCCATGGCTGAAGGTCCATTCTGTCCGTTGGTACGCGTGGACGGCAGCCACAAGGCAGAGCGGTCTGCGACAGGACCCGTGGCGAATATAAAGAGTGTGATGAGGGTGAAGAAGATGAGGGCGGTTACGAGCAGTCGAAAGAGGGGGCTTCGACACGAAAGCGAGGATACATGGGAGCGAGAAAAGGCGACTATGCTTTCAATCGTCGACATGGTCGCCGTCAAAGAGCCAGTGTCGCGGCTACTGTCAGGAACAATGGCTTTTCACCCATCTCCCTCTGAGGCCGTCCATGGAAGCCGTCTCGACACGGAACTGGCGAGCAACAGGCAGACGAAAGGTGTCCGGTAGCAGTTAAATAGCTAGGTAGAGGGAGCTCGCTCATTTACGGAGTACCAGGCAGGCGAGTTTCTAAGATTAATCGCCAATAGAAACCACGTATATTCAATCGGTCTGAAGGCTGGTTCCACACTGGATCCTTTGGCTGTCGAGTCATGTCAGGCAAAACGGACAAGGCTGAGTTGACGAGGTACGACGACATGTACCGAGTCGGAAGTCCTCTGGTTCCATGCTGCATCAATTGATCCTTTCGGCCCCTACCTTTTCTGTTGGCGGCCGAGGGCGTTGCCGGGGCTTGGATCGGCATCAGCAACGGGGCCAACTGTTTTTGATGGCTTGCCTAGACAGGTGAGGGGGCAGAGGCAGAATGCTGGTTCCGGGTTCGTGCGTCGATGGCTGTTGAAATTGCCAAGTTGAGAAGTAGAAGTAGACTTGTACCACGACCCGGAAGATGGCTGAGACAGACTACGACCGGAGCTCTGCCATCACCCAACATCACCCAACATGTCACAACTTGTCATGTGCAGCTGGGCAACAGACAAGGCACCCGCTAGTCCGGACAGTCAAAAGTAATGTGCAATTAATTCATAGCCTGGCCATCAAATCGCGGCACTTGATGGGAATCGTCCCACGCAGAGATATCCCCAGGTACGGAGTAGATAGATCGTCCATGACTTTGGTAGCAGGGTAAAATAAGCCTTTGCCAGAATTTAGCTTTGCCTTGATGTGGAGCAGCCCGAGATCTGCGCCGGTAGCCCTCTTTGCAGTGGAACAGACCATCATGTCAACAAGGCTTCGAGAACAAAGGGACGATGCAGGTTAAACCGATGCCTCTTCCTCTCCCCAGCCGTAGCCACCCCTTACCGGCCCCGTGACGGGGGGTTCCAGCCATGTCTTTGCCCGGCATTGCTGATGGTATGCAAGACGGGCGTTTTCTGAACATGCAGCAGACTGCCGAGTACGTTGCGCATTTGCCGGGACCAAAAACGGAGGTTGTGTAGCAAAAGGTCAACGGTGGCACAAACTGGCTTTTCTACGGCCACGCCTGGCCTAATCGGGAAATAGCCATGATTCTCACCCCCCAACGTCATCCGCGTCCCTCAGGAGCACCGTCAAGACCTGGCCTCTTCTCCTCGGTCGGAATCTCGAGCCCCTTTCTCGACGCCTGCCTGCCGACGCGACGCGACGCGTACCCGGAGCCACTCCAACATTCCATTTCCATTCTTGTCTGCCGTGGTGGAGACCGCATAATGCCCATCAGACTCCTTCTCGAATCCGCACGCCGATTTGGACCTGCCGGTGGAAGCAGAATCCTGGAGGTATGTAGGGCTGCCGGGCCATGAGCCGAAAAGAACATTGAAGTCACTGGTAATACCAGCCAAGGCCATGAATCCATGAACCCCGTCCGTTTAGCGCTTTGCAAAATGCCCTAGTGTCAGCCACTCCCGCATGCAAGAGGACACGCGTCTCGCATCCACGATGACGACGCGTGGGTTTGAGAAGCTGCTAAGCCCTAGTAGCCAGTCCTGAAATGGAAATGCTTGGGTCCTTGACTCTTTGGACCAGGCAGGCGTGTTGAACATCTCCGGAGCAGATTCGCGCATCTTGTCCAACGGTGTAGAAGCTGCTCGCCGGCAACGTGCGCGTCAGCCACGGCAACAAGCATCACTTTTATGCGCAAATTTGGCGCGGACAACTCAGCCCTGCTGGCTTGGGCTAAATTGTCGTCTTTTGACGCCGCCGTTGCCGTTGCTCGTGGTCAACAGCATATGGCGGTACTACATAGCACCGTCTTTCTACAACTTCCCTTGATAACTTGCCAACGGCAACAAAAAAACCCATCATCGCACCGTTTGACGTTGCACTTGCAGTCGTCTGACGGGCTTGTGGCGAATCCAGCTATTCCCAACGCCTGGCGCGCAATGGAGCAAAGTGTGATGAATCCATTCGCGCCGGTTTCCTCATGTTCCACCACACACATGCAAGACCGATACAATCTCCCATTTCGTCAGTGCATGGAGGTCTCGTTCCCAACCATGGCTTCTACAGTTCCATTACTCGTATACATGAAAGTAGACTACACTGCCCTTTATTGGTTAGCACGAAGCGAAAAGACACGATGGACACGGGGTCCGCCTGTGCCTTTGGCATATAACAGATGTTCATGTCGATGCATGTGACAAGGGCTCAGAAAGAGGGCTTGGAGCAATAGCTCCATTCAACTAATAATAGTCTTTGGTATCAAAGGTCCTTAGTTTTCCTTAAGGCCTTGAGGGACCGAAGACGTCTATTTATACAAGAAGTCGGTGAGGGCCTTCTTCCCTAATCCCGTGACCGTAGCCCTTGTGTAACAGGCCATTTCCGTGTAACAATGCACGGCTCTTGAAAGGCACTAAAAACTATGCGTGTATTCGTTATTTGCTTCCAGGTGAAATGAATGGCAACAAGCTGCCACCGTAGGCAAAGTGAGCGGAAAACACATGGCGCTATTTGTTGCCTATACTACAAACATTCTGCCACCATGACTTCGCTTCATAGGTTTTCGCGGATCAATAGTGTTGGAGTATACATGCATTTTTAAGCCCTCTGCTTCCTAAGCTAGCCAACAGAAAATGCGCCAAGGAAACCTCTCGGTGTCAAGTTTATAGTGGCGGTTTCAGCTTATTCTTTCCCAACTTGTATCTTGCGTGACTCACACAAGCCAATTTGTCGGCCTAAAGTCATACATACACTACATAACTAATGGCCATGCTTACTATGTAAGTTACCCTCTATAATCCAACTTCAACCTGCGCAGTGATAGAGACCTTGGATTAGTGCCTATTTTAATATTTAGCTCTACATATGTAGTCTGAAACACCTTTATATATGATAAGACACATATACTAGAAATAGTGTCCATTCAGAAGATAACCAGTTGAAAGATGGAATCAAGGGACAGGCGAGGACTAAATATATCGCTAATACGCTTATAGACTCTCAACCTCGAGAAAAATGTGGCGATGCACGGCAAACCGCTCGCTGTCACTTCACCCGAGTGTACCAAGGAAATACCTAAAATTAGGAACAGGCAGCATCAGGTGGCTCCTTCACCCCGTCTTGATTGGACCTTGAGTGACAAACGGGATGTGCTTACTCTCCCCGGTTTTATTCAGCCCCGGGCTCACGCCGTCCTTTACCACTGGTTCAACTGCAAGCCACCGCGAAATTGGCTATAAGCTTTGACTAACGAGCAGCCATTCGAGGCGGAGCGGCAATTTCGAGGCTGCCGGATGGACAACCTTCCGTGCTCTTTTAGACCCGGGTGCTATGCATCCGTTCCGGTGACAAGCCCATCATGACAGATACAACATGAGAGGTGTAGCTGCGAAGTCGTCATTGGCCAACATTTACGGGAACGTCAGCCCCAAAGAACGAGCCACCTTCTAGAAAGATTGCTTTCCGAAGCCGTGATGGTGATGAGAGCGTTGGGAAAATTAGCCGATGCGGAGTTGCCGAAAGGCCGGATGTTGGAACACTCTATCGAGGATATAAAGGTCACAAATGACTCTCCGTATGATATTTATACCACACGGACCAAATTAAGAACCATCCCACAAGATAAAGCTTCTTGTTTCTCCTCACTCTGCACGCCATACTTGAGCGTTCCGAGCCATTACACCCATATTGCCTCTGCGGCTTGAACTGCAACCCCCCGGCGCAATGGTCTCAAGGCTATTCACTCTATCAGCCCTGTTGGGCCTTGCTATCGGAGCCGTGATTCCAAACAACAATGGGTTTCCCACACCCAATGACCAACAAAAGCTCCAAATAGCGCAAGAAGCAGGAGGCCTGCTCCCCGGTAGTCCGCCCCCCGGTTCACTTGGTGCCGGCAGCATCACTGCCTTCCAGCTCATCGCCTTCAACGAGCTCTTCGAGACGGCTTACTTTAGCTCACTGCTCCACAACATCACTTCTGGGGCTCCCGGATACCAGGCCGAGAACGCAGACGAGTTGGTCAAGATATTCTCGACAGTACTAGCGGTAAGTCAAAGTCCAACGGCATACCAAGACCCAGCACACATGTAGTATAGCGCTAACAATACATTTATTAGCAAGAGGAACAGCACGCCCTCGCGGCCGTGTCTACACTCAAGGCCGCCAACGCCTTTGCACCCTCCGCTTGCCAGTACCAATTCCCCGTGTCCAACCTCAAGGATGCGGTAAATCTAGCCGAGACGTTTACGGCAGTTGTCCTAGGCGCACTCCAGGGGGCAAACGTCATATTCAGTCAGGACAAGCAGACAGGTGCCGTCCAAACGGTCTCTTCCGTCATCGGTCAAGAGGGCGAGCAAAACGGCTTCTACAGAGTGTTTCTGGATAAAGTGCCTTCCGAATCGCCTTTTCTCACAACGGTTCCAGCCCCCTTTGCCTGGTCGGCGCTTCAGGCCTTCGTCGTGCCCGGCTCGTGCCCCTTCCCGCTGAGCAATATCAACCTTCCTATTTTCCCTGCCTTGGAGGTAAACGGGGGGGCTATTGCCTCGGTCGAGCCTCGGGACCAGACGCTCTCTTTCTCCGCCGACGTGTCCGGCTCGGAAGCTGCCAAGGCTTATATTGGCCGCGACAATCTGTTTGCCACGTACACGACGGGTCAGCAGCTGCCCATCTCGGTGGCCATTACCGACGTGGAATGGTCCGGGGGCAGGATTAGTTTCAAGGCTCCGTTCCCCTTTTCGAAATTTGTCATGCAAGGGTTCAGCCACGTGGCTCTGACGACGGGCGACACGTTTGACAGCGCGGATGCGGTGGTGCAGTCGGCGCTTGCGGCTCCGGGGCTTATTCAAGTGAATAACCGGCTGTAACACGTGTATGTCAGACATGAATGTTGAGGAGTGTG